GCAAGCGAAAAGCAAAAGGCAGCATATGACCTGAAGGTGCACAATCAAGACGTTAAGGCTGGTGATCGCGAGCTGGTTGCAAACAAAACTCCCAGAGGCCAATGTAAGCTGAAGGACCGGTGGGAGTCGACGCCACATGTAGTAGTCAGGAAGCTACGGAACCTTCCAGTCTACATCATTCGGGATCTGGGTTGCACGAGAACCAGAACCATCCATCGCAACTTACCTACCATACTATGCGTCAGAGGAGAACAACAAGACCGACTCAGATGCTAAGGTGCCAGCAGATCTTCTCATTCCGCGAACAAAGTCTTCACTAGTCAGTTCTGGTCACTCTTCAACGGACCCAGAGTCTGGACCTCCTTCCGATACTGATGGCGATGAACACAGTATTGATGGCAGCATTGAGAGGGTAGAGACACATCATCGGCCCAGACGAATCATCATGTTGCCCGCGAGGTACAGGGACTAGGTGACGACAATAGTAGTTGTAAATAACACCCGCGATTTTGTATTTTTGTTAATGCGATTATTCCCTGTTGCCTATTGCTGAGGACAGCAATGGCTTTAGTGAGGCGAGAGTGTAGCACGGGCAGATTTAACTTAGTTTTTTCTTTGTACTAAATGCAAATGTCCACGCACTGTATAGGAGTAGCACCCCCTAGTCTACCCATCCTAAAGTTGCCTTGTGCCCCTCATAATTGTTCACTCGATGATGACTCATGCAACTGGACAGGCACTGTGGGCATGCTTTAAGCCCAAGTCTCAGTAAGCAGGTTGGCAGTCGATGAAGTAATTCACCTATTAAATACCAGTCAAGTTCTGCCCTGAAAGCTCAGACCTGCAGTGGACTTGGTGAGTTTACTTTTATTTCTGTATTAATCTGTATTGTTAAAGAGAAAGACTTTTGTATTTTATGTCAGCTGAATGCTTTTGATGATAGATGTCACTTTCATTGTTTGAGATATTGTTTCATCTTTACTCACATTATTGGCCAAGTGTTCTTTTGTAAGATTCAAACCGAATTCTAGCCAGATGACTGTAAATTTTACAAGGTGTTTTGCTCATTGCTGAAAACTGTTGGACTACTTGGATATTTTT